CTATTCAGTCACAGGTGCGTAATGTTCAATCGCGCGCGTGTTTTTATTATTTTGTTGCGGTGGATTTAACTAAAAAAAAAAAAACGAGAGAAAAAAGGCTTTTAGAAAAAAAAAAAAGTGGTTTGTATTCTTTGTCCGGCTCGAAATGTTTTTTAACGTCAAAAGCGAGATTACTACGCACGAGAATTGTAAACGCATCAGCGAGACGACGTACGAGAGTCCACGCATAAAAAAAAATACAAAATTAGAGTGACACCGAGACGAGAGAAACAGAGAATCAATAATAATATGATTATCGTTATACTGTATATTACGCTACGGAAAACTAAATGAAAAAACTGACACTGTTGATGGTATTAGTGGCCACTGTTGCCAATGGCGTGTTAATGATTTTGGAGGGAGATATTGAATTTGGCATTTATGTCATATTAATATGTTGTATAACCTATACCAAGGATATCCAAAAGAAAAAAAAAATACGATTTTTAATTTGTATATCCATCCTAAAATTATCGTCTGATTAATATTAATTATTAATAATTAGTTTATTTACCGTTTATGTACTAAACTAACCTCTTTAATATTGTAGTGGTTTCCGTTGGTTTGGTTTTAAACAAAACAAATACGTTCAAGTTTTTTTTTTAACATCTTCGATTACCCAACAAAATCACGTAAGTCGGTTTTAACACATTTTACAAGGAAACAAACAACTGTGGCAGGCTTAGAAATTTACTAAAAAAAAAAAAAAGGAAAGTTTTGCCGGGAAGCAGACGAGATTATTTTAAGTACATACCAAGAAATTTTTTTTAGTTTTTCCGAATACAGAGAAAAGAAATTTGAATTTAAAAAATCATATAACCCGTTATTTTAGATAGTAAAAAATTTAATGTGGGGATATATATCCCCCTTAATTTCCTCCCTTAAATATGCCACTGTCTGTTGTACGTCGGTTTAAATGCCGAATAATATAACGATTGCGTGTATCGATGATTGATTGCGCGCAAAATACGATTTCACGTGGAAATCGCCACATACATCTTAACTCCGTTCAGAACCCAAAAACATTGCAATTATGCGCATTCGAAATCGTTTCCTCGACGTTATGTGCAGATAACTGCACATAATAAAATATACGGTCGCCAAACCGGGGAGTCGGGTAAAAACACTAAAAAGGCAACGAATTCGCTTACCTTTACGCAATCGCCTACACATAATAAATAACGGTGTATATTATGTGCCCGAACACCCCGAGTTTTATTATCGATTTCTTTAACAAAATATTTTGCTGGTGCCACCGAATTTTATTTCACGTCGCCGAAAGCGCCGATAAAATTAATAAAATAAAAAATATTTTCGCAAAAGTCCGCTAGACAACGCTACAAACAAGATTAATGTGATACAATATAGGCAAATATACAGAGTTTGAATCGGCGTAACATTATGAAACGTGTGACCTTGGTAGTTGTGATAACGGCAATTTTAAAATAAATGAAATATTAATATTTATTAAAACAATACACGGCAAAACTGTGATCGTAGACAAGTTATTATACGTAATACTACGTTAACAGCATGCGATATAATATAATCACAAAAGTTGGGTAAGTTAACGTTTTTTTTTTTTTTAAATTGGTTTAAGTTATACTAAAAAAAAAAAAAAAAAAACAAACAAACAAAACAAAGCTAATTTAAATTTAATTTTAAAATGTTATGGACTTGAGTACTAAATAACACGTACCTACAAACATTCAGGAAAACTCAAGTAAATTTAAAGTTTAATTTATTTTTAAGTTTTTTTTCTGGCTTAACTACACTTATAATCGTATTTTTAATCATCAAATGAATTATTCTTATGTATATTTTTGATGTTATAGTAATTATGGTTTTCGTAACTGACGAGATTTGAATTAATCACGATACACAATGGTTACATACGATACAGCCCTCGTGGGTCTTTGATGTTACTATATTTTTAGCGCACCAAAAGTTGGCGGCCTATTTGCGGCTTATGAGCGCGACCGGTGGCTGAACTATATTATGTGTAAACCACATCCGATTCCGATCGAGTCCAACTACCGTTCTATTTCCCGAGTCGAGAAAATACCGCCACCGTTTGTGTAACAATGACCATATGAACTTTATTTACATAGTTTATTTACAGAGTGGTCAATCCACTGTAAGACAATCATTATTTCGGAATTTGTTATACAGAACATTTAAGAAACGAATAGCTCTACAATATTACGACTGTGTTATTTTTCGTCACCCTTATTTTCGGGCGTAAAATCACTACGTACTTTTGATTTTAAAATAACAACCCATATTCAAATACGACAAGACCTAGAAAATCTAGAAACTGTAAAGTAGGAAGAATTGGTCCAGGATGGTGGAAGTCGGAGAGCATTGACAGTGGCAGCGAAAACTTTTACAGAATCATGAAGCTATATGATTATGACGATTAGTTAAAATTCATTTTGGTGTTGACATTTTTCATTTCCATCAATCCGTTGACGAAATATTCCGTTTATAAGTTTCGGTCGGGGGAGTAGTGCATTATTGTTAAAAGAACGCGCGCCGTGCCACTACACAAATGATGTTCCACTACCCTCCCCCGACCGAAATTTAAAAGCGGAATATCTCGTCAACGGATTGATGGAAATGAAAACTGTCAACACCAAAACTAATTTTCAATAATACCCCGTCTATTTATGCAATTTTTAATACAGGTCGCCGTTTAATAACCGAAATTGGGAAATGGTTTTACCGGCGAAAATAATGGCGACAAAAAATAACATAAATGCAAAATTTTAGAGCTGCTTGTTTCTTTAACGATGTACGAGATAAATTCAGAAAAAAAATTAATAATTTCCGAGATAATGAGTGTCTTACGGTAGATTGATCGCCCTGTATATTATACGTTTCGGCGGAGATATAATATACAGTTGCACGCGCGTTTCACACAATAGACATCAGCCCGCATAATTTATAACACCGACCGCGGCCGAAAGGAGACACGCGGAATTAATTCGAAAAATCTCGTCAAATATTTCAGGCTTACAGTTACTTACTATTATATAAACCGACGGCGGCGGTGGCGCCGGCGTCTACTTCGCTTCGCTGTCGTTTTCTTTAAGACCGACAAACTGAGCCTATTTGCCCATCTTTTTCCCTCCCCTTTCTCTCTCTCTCTCTCTCTCTCTCTCTATCTCTCTTTATCTCTCTCGCCTTAATCATACGACTTGCAGTTTTATAACGGTGCGCGAGAACCATTTAAATACAGGACGATTTTTTTTATTTTTTTTTTTTTTTACTCCGATGGTTTTAAGCGAATTCGATTTCTTTCCGTATTTTTTTTTTATCGCCAATCATTACACGGAATTGTCCGAACTTTGTTCTAACGCGGTCTTGAAAATATGTTTACCCCTGTAGTACTTATCGCAACTTTAATACGGGCAGTATCGTACGCTTTAGCCATTCAAATTTCATTTTCCGGCTGCGTCAGTAATATAAAATAATGTAACAATAATAAATCCCGCCGTAAAACACGGTCCGCGCAGTAGAAACACGCTTTACAAGAAAAAATCCTGTGTATAAAAATACTATGGGTGGGGGGGCGGACATTTGTGCGAACTCGGTTGAATATTATTATAATATATATCTCTCTCTTTATTTCGATATTCGTCTGTTTGAATAATATGATATTTAACAATCGATTTTTAAATTCAACACATTTTTTGGCCGATTTTAGTTTTGATGATCAGTTATATTCTGTGTCTTATTATTTCTTATGTAGTCGTCTTTTGAACGTGAAATTCCGCGAATTACGCCCGCGGTCTTTGGCCGTGACGACGATTTAATGTTACGTGCAGTTTTCCCGTGTAAATTACGCGGATAAACTAAAATATAGTGGCCAATCTATTACGCGGAGTAACAGATAGGTAACTGTATATTGATAACGATAGTACTGCCGATAGCCGAGAATCGTTTTCGTGGAATAATAACGCGATTTGTCGCGTTCCGGAACAAATGACGGGTACCTTCCAGACGAGGAGAAAAAAAAAACGTTCGACGATTTATTAAATTCAGAATGAGGTCGGCGGCCATTTGGTGCGGATAAGCCATTACCTACGCGAACGGTCTTAGTAGGTTTAGACCGCACGAAACTTTTAGAGGCGTTCGGATTCTATTCATCTGCCACTCCGCTTCCGTTGAAAACCACACCGGGAGGATCGTAGAAATCCATATGCGGTAGTCTCATCGGCTTGCAGACGACCTGGTGCCTGTTAGATAAATCGAAACGCTTCGACCAAGACCCGGGGGTCGTTTCAACGGTAAAAAACAGAGAGGAAAAAACGAGTTATTATTATTTGAAAATTTTCCCATATGGGTGAAGTTTATTCGCATACGGATTTGTGGAAATTGCAGTGGATAACCGTCCTCGGAGAGCGGGCTGCAGAAAATCGAAACGCAGAAAAAAGCGCGATCGGATATACTGCAATGTCGTTCACCGTTGATAAAAATTATTCCAGAATATGCACCCATTGGTTTAATGTATGTATAAACTATAAACGTATAAATCTATACAAATTGATTATTTTAACGTTGTAAAACGCGCACGTAAAAATCCACAAAAATTATTTCGGTAATTTTAAATTACTTTAAATTTAAACAAAAAGTAAATAAAAATCGGGTATACTTCACGTACTACGGGTGGACCACCCGTTTAGGTCACAAGTTAGAAATAGGATTATTAAATTCATATCTGTACGTAATGATAAAACATGTTAAACGAAACAAATTTGAGTCAAGTTCAATTAAACGTATTTGAATTGAAAATTGTATTCGTTTATAACTTCCTATAGAAAATAAAAAAACATTATTCGTTCATTTTTTTAATGTATTTTAACATAAATCTGAACTTGAAACTCTGATAAAACAATAAAAAAAAAAAAAAAGGAGAATTTCAAATATAGGTTTTATTTCTTCGAAAAAATACAAGAATGTTTTTAAAGTTGCTTAATAGTTTATAAAGTGCTATTTTGTGTACAATTATTTGGTGAAAATTCTACGTCTCTGCGATTAAATTTAACTGAATTACAATAACAAAAAAAAAAAAATACTGACAACTACAGAAACCGTTAATATTGCGTAAATATCCCCGAATTTCTCGGAAGATTTTACTCATTATTAAGGAAACTACTAGACAAACCAAAAAAATTTTCCCAGGTGCATCGACTAGACAGAATTTTTCACCGGAAACCACCTACGAAATCGATGATCGGAACAAGATTTAATCAAATGCGATTGAAAATTATTTTCTGTTTGATATTTTAGCGTTTGATGTGGTAATCGTTATCGTATTGTCGTTGTACGGTTCCGTATCCCATTTTGTCACCTGAAAAACAAAAAAACAAAAACACCAATAACGATTAGAGTACAAAATGTCACGTTTGGGGGGAAAAAAACAAAATCTCGTTATACGCTCCGGATGAAATAATCGAATTTCTATGTATTATATGAAAAAAAAAAATAAAAAAATAAATAAATAGGATCCACGTAACGGGCCGTGTGACACGCGCGAGAGTAACCCAATGACGCATATACATTAAATCCTTTTGTGTATAGGGAAATTCGGATTTTTAAAAAGACGTTACGGTCGTTTCCGAGTTATCATTATTTCTATATATATATTCTTGAAGGGGGTTTTACGTCGGCACAATATACAAACATCGTCGTCGTCAGAACGGTGATGATACGCGCGAGGAAAACAAAAAAAAAAAATAAAATAAAAAATAAAAAAAAAACGATAGGCGATGGTTTTCGCGATTTCGCACCGCGTGTGTGACGGAAAATAGAACGCCGTTCATTTGTACGTTTTGTCAATTTCGAATAGCTTACGACCCGCGAATTTCGGGTTTTCCGCGAGCGACGTTTTTTCTCGTTATTATTTTTTTTTTTTTAACTGCGGGTCGCGTTGTATGTCCGCGTGCGGTGTGATTTATACCTGCGCTATATCTGTAACGCACAATACGTCCTTATTTCACCGACGTCATGACACGATGCGTATATCGGCGGAGAAAAGTGAAAATCATTATTTTTTTTGGTCAATTGATATCACGCGTGTACAATAGACAATAATGTATAAAATTCGGTAATAAATAATAATAATAGGCAATAGACTGGAGGGCTCTGGAGGTCGGCAGCTCCTATAACACTGAAGTAAGAATTTTACGTGGGCGAATGATGGTGACCGGTGGCCTCAATATAATACTTGTGGTATACGTTAGAACAGAACGATAGAATGATAGAGCAATCAATCGTATAAATTAATAATTATTATAGCATATCAACTGAACGAATGTGTTATGGTCATTCAACGTTTGCTATGTCCCGATTTAATCGTGTAGTGCGCGCCACTGATAATCAGTATTAATAAGTATGGGAAAACGGTCTAAACCGACAAGTCCTGATAATCCATGAGATTTCTGTACAATACGTATACACTAATCTGTCAATAACGGCGTAAGGCCAATGTATAAAATGACGACGGTATTACAAAAAAAAAAAAAAAAGGATGTCACGGTTACCCGTGTATAGACGATTTTTGAAAAAAACAAACGCAATTGATCGACTCGAAAATATAAACGATACTCAAGAACATAATATTATGACTCATTGTGTGCAGATAATCGTGAAATATTTTGTTCGCAATAATGTTCACACTAAACAGGGTATTAATCAAGTAGTATGTGTATTATTCGAAGACATTTTATAGTTTAAGCCACATTAACATCAGCAAGAGCGTATCGATTTTCAATTTACTCGAATGAGGCAGCAGCTAATATTCATGATTAAAGTAGTATTTTTAAAAATTAAAAAAAAAAAAAAAACTGTTAAAGATGGAAAGTTGGAAAGGTATAATGCATAAATCTATTCAATTTATATCTATAGGAAACGATAATGCGTTGCTAAGGGAAACCGATTTGTTCCGGAAAATCAAAAAAACTACCTCTTTAATACACCAACTAGATCCGAAATGCAATAAAAAAGGTCTCGGGTGATATTTCCATCGGGGTGAGTTTTCTGTTCGAAAAGTTTACAGACAGATCGAAAAAAAAAAACACACAACATAGTAAAAACCAATAGAGATGCCCCGTTTCGCTCCGAATCTAAAATGACGGTCAAAATAACACGCACTGCATACGTCGTAGCTATACACTATAAATGTATAATACTCAATTTTTTTTTTCTGTTAGATGGCATACGAAATAAGACAATTAATATAGGTACATTATTATTATAATGTTGACTTATAAAATATTTGTGGGAGACACGGCATCCTAAAGCAGAAGCAAGAGGTTGCGGTGGTTCGGCGACGTACTGCAGGCGGACGAGGGATATAATAATTTGCCAGGAAGAATACCGCAATTGTACAGACCGTAGGCCACAGACCCCTCCGCCTTCCCGGAAGGTCCGAAAACAGGACGGAAAAACGGAAAATGCGCGCACGCGTGTTGCGCGTATGACAGGGGCCGACGGAGAGATATGGCGACGGAGGGGCCGGCGACGCGACCGAGCGGCCGGCTATGAGCTGTCAAGAAGAAGACGACGAATGTGTTCGTAATAGATTATAAAAGGCGGGCTAACGAGAAAAAAATAAATAATAATAATAATAATAGTGATAGTAAAAAAATCAACGCGCGGAAATGTGTAACGAACGTCGTGCCGTGGCGTACAAATAATAATAATAATAATATTTCAGCGCGCGTGTGCAATGTAATGCCGCGCGCGGTGCATACACGCGTATTACATACAATTTACAATTATCCATAAACGCCATAATTTTAGGTATACGTTTTCAGGACGTAGCGTCTATTTGTTAACGCCACGCAAACGTCCAATATACAATACGTCTCTCCGCAGCAAAAACGGCCCGGCTTATGGGTTTATCGCCGTATAAACATAATATAACGTCTTTTGAAATTAATGCGTTATCGCGGCGGCGGCGCGCATTATTTTCCGCAAATTCTACTCGAAACCGCCGCCGCCGCCGCCGTCTGTTAATAAATTCGTTATTTACACGCCATGATATTTCATAATATTGTTCGCGTTATTGAACTTCCTTAACTCTGCTATGTGTACTTGGCTATAGGTACTCGTATACAATAATACAACGTGGACAATATCATCCTCGTCGAACAAGCGATTTAATGTCGCGCGACTTCTCCCTCTTCATCAACCCCTTTGGATAACGGACAACATTACCGATAACATTATATACGAGAGAGAGAGAGAGAGAGAGAAATCACTGCACGATTGACGAGTCGTGAGTACTGTTTTGTTGTGCGACGAGTACCTACCTAAAAACATTAAACGAGTGCGTAAAATATTATTGTCGATTTTCACAAATCAATGAAATACATCGATCGACCGCATTTATATAAATAAAAAATTATATGTCCCGGACCCCCGGTGGAATAATGTCAATCGGGTTGAAAACCGACGCTGGAAACGTGTGTTCGGAGTAAATTTTAATACGACTGGATTATCGCGGAATCGAAACTAAACATATTATTCGGAATTAAAACGAATTAAGTTGAAAGTAAACATTTTAAATCTTTTTGTTTAATTCGTATTATAAAACAAATTCAATAAATACTATCTTGATTTTCTTCTTCTAGCGTGGATAAAGAACCAAGACCATGCCGACCAGGCCGTCCAGCATGTTTTCTTCCAACTTCTCCTTTCCTTGTCTCTATAATTCACTCCAAGCTGTGATTAAATATTCAATACATCGTTTTCATTATTTTTATATTGGAATCGGTCACAGTAGAAATCACAATCTAAAATGAATAGCAAATAAATAATAATAATCAATGTTTTTTTTTTTTTTTTAAGAATTTTTCCCGTCCGCGTTATGCGACGTAACACGCCCTAATGGAGAATATTTAAAACTCTATTAAGGATAATAGTTCGTAAACTATATTCAAATCATTATTAAATTGTTACCACCAATAGAGTAGTTAAGTGCTATTGAGACGTAAATAATTTATTCTAGATGATGTTTTAGTTCTTGAAGTAATCCATTAGGAACCAACACGTACTCATAAAGCAAACCGCGGCAAAATTTCTAATCCTGTCACTATCACCCGGCACCCGCCTACCATTTCGTGTCCAGTTCATATCTTGTTAATCCGTTGTTAAAACTTGTGAATCATAACCAAACAACCACTTATAAGTTAATAAAACTAATAGGTTACAACAGCCAACAGGTTACAATATCGTTAACAACCACAAACTCGATGTAGTAAATTGTGACTAAAAGTTACAATAAATACAAGTTATTTCCAAATTTTTTTCGGCGCAATTGACAACCATATTTCCTATCGATAATAAAAGCGCGTTTTACGCACACTCTATAAGAAATTGGCCAGTGCAGTTTACGTAAAATATGAGATTATTTAGGCACGATTTTCGTATGCCTCCAATGATTGTACAACATACGTTAGATGTGTTTGTTCCGAAAATGTCGGTTTGGCAAAAACACCCGATATCTGAACTGTTTGATATTCTCAACATCCGTACATTGAGAATGCAATATCGGCTTGACTGTTTATAATTTAGGCCAATACTCACCACTAGTTAAATATAATACATAGAATTCACAGGAAAATCCCTAAAACAAAATCACACTAGAAATGTTATTACTTAATTAATCTGTAGGGTTACTGTTAAATCTACAGTTGTAGGTACACAGTACACGTGTACAAAATGCGGTTGGTTTCTGGAACGCGATATCGCGAATCGATTTGACCCGTAGTAATTTGTCTCAATATTGACAGTTGTATGTGTATATATAATGCACGTTTTATGTATTTCTATCATAGCAAGTACCTATAAATATGTATATTATTTTCAATTATCAGTTGCATTTTAAATTATAAAAATTGGAACAGTCAAACGACGAATAATGATGGAAAAAATACAAATGTTTACATTGACTTTACAAAGACTTTTCGTGTCTGACAGAATAAGGTATATATAGGCATATCTTATTATTATTATTATTTTAAAGAACATGGCATATCATCGGTTTAAATTAAAATAACTTATCATCAAATTGATACATATAAACTCGGAATATCGCAACAATTCGTTTTCCATTCACGATATTTAAATAATATGTTTGAAAATGTATTATTTAGTTTTTTAAATTTTGAGTAAATTAATAATTGTACACGTGTAGAATATAGCAATGCAGCAGTACGACAAGAGCTACACAATAACAAAATTGTATCCCTCGAGAAATCAAAAATTGCACCACACAATAACTTAAAAAACAGGATTATAAAAATAAAATACTATTAAATCTACCATGTTAGAAAATAACATGATATGCTTCGCACTGTGGACACTGTAAGGGAGAACTTGGAAGGTATAGGATATTATAGGGTATTATATTGATTTCATATACTGAAAGCAACGATAGATCGTTGAAATTAAAAAACGTTTCTGAGCGGAATAGTATTGGTATAATGTGGTATAAATGAATTGTGTTTTTATTTTGTAGCCGTGGAAGGCAGAAAATAACAAAAACAACATCGTTATATCGTTATTGGTTGTCTAATTTTTTTAAGAATACTTTTTAATGATATTTTTGTCGGTAATAAAATCTACAAATAACGTATCACAGGAGAAAAATTCAGTATCTTATGATAAAATATAATGTGAAAAACTTGGAGGCCTTAATGTTTTCAAAAAAGAAAAAGTATTGAGAATTTTTAAAAATTGTTCAAAGCATCGTCAAGTAAAAAACACGCATTTTCTAAAGTACAGCATTGAAAAATCGGAGCATTTTAAACTATCGAAAAGGTGTCTTCCGATGAAAGGAAAATATAGGTACATTTTAATAAGACTAATAGAGCTCTTGCAGTACAATTTAATCAGAATTAAAAATATAAATTACAAAACATTATTATAAGTCACTTCCAATTAGTATTTCGCGAATATCTAAATAATGATATTAATATTCTGATTGTAAGTTATATTAATTGTAATATTGTTATTATAATTAGGTGAAATTATAGTTTCTAATATGTTTTTCTTGTAAATAACCCTCGATTATTCAAATCGCTATGGCAAACATCTGAAGTAAATACGTCAAGTACCTATTTATGTAAATATTGATTCGGTTTACCACATTAAACGTTTGATAAACGTGTTCCCATTTGATATGACTTACAGTTATAATTAAATGTATTATAAAACAAATTGATTGAGATCAAATTAAATTAGACTAGGAACACATTTTCAATCGAAAAAAAAAAACAATGCATATGCATTTTCTAAACATTTTTAGGTATCAAAAGATTTTTCAACTTCCCTCCTTCGCCTGTAACAGAAATTCGGTAATTAAGAGTCGGGAGGACTATTGAATTATACAATTTATAAATTAACAAATAAAAATTGAAATAACCAATGAAAAAATAAAAATTGTCTATATTGAAGAAAATTTAAAATTGAATAAATAACAAAAAAAATGTAATTTTTTCCCATAAATAAACGCATGCAATTAGGCATCAAATGCGAAAACACGCTAACTGCCCAATTACGGTTTAAAACATACTTTCCACTCTCTGACCCACGATTCACTGCACAAAACAAGCTTATATTTCGATAGTACTTCTCCAACGTCCCCGGGAGAGTTATTGCCTCCGTTGAGAATCACCGATTAAAGCAATGGAGTTTTTCGTACTTGCCTTCAAATGGACTTTTGGATGAGGTACTACAGGAGAAAATCCGTAGTTTATTGTTAAGTATTTTGAAGTTTTCGAATTTGTATATTTTACTGTTTCTGAGTTTTATAGAGCTCAACATCGTTAAAATCGAATAGGATTTTCTTACTGGTTTTAAGTTTTTTATTTCTTTTATAAAACTAAAAAATAATATGTATATATATATATACAATATACATACCTATTATTAAACACGGCTGAAAAATAATTTTCAAACTCTTTTCAATTGTTTTTTTTATATATATATATATATATTAAGAAAAATAATTATATAAAGTTCCAAAACTTGTTTAACATTTGTATTACACACCAATAAGAGCTTTCGGGAACAGACAAAAAAAAAACAAGAAAAGGTCTTGCAAAATTAATAATAACGCTCTATATAAAAACAATTACCGGAAATCCAATCGCGTGTATAACAACACGTAACGATTGTGGACCGAATCGTGTAAAAGAACAAACAAATTTAAAAACATATAAACGCACTTTGATAAACCGTACCTAACGCAATAACGAAATAAATTGACTTCGGAAAGTATTATAAAAGCCCCGACCGAGTTCTAAAACCTCGCGTTCGTCAAAAACGGAGCGCATAGCACAGGACTTAAACTAATAACTGATTTATTTTCGGGAATCGGCCACGGTTTCGATAAGGGCGGGTAACTTTAAACCGCGGGACTGTGAAATGCGTGTTATATTATTGTGTGAACAAAACACGCGGTTCCGACAGTAAAAATCCGATAAAGTGTTGGCGAAACGTGACGACACTATATATTTATAGTGCGTGGTGACAAGCAATACTGTTTAAAGAGAAATCCTAAACTTCACGGTATACCTAGCCGACAACTCGAATGTAATATAATACGCACGCACGTAAGGATCTCGAGATAAATCGGATACGTCGTAATATTTCACATTTGTAAATAATAATAAAAAAAAAAAAAAAAAAACGATTTTTACGTCGTCCGTCTAACGTAGTCCGAGTATAATTTCGGTTGCATCCAAAAACCACATAAATATGATTTCAATTTCAAAACAGGTCGATAGACAAAAATTGTGAACTTTACCGGTTACCAAGTATATACCTATAGGTACATTGTGTAGCCAAATACCGCACAGGCACACTTTTAGTGGGTCAATACCGTACGTTAAGAGGACATTATACCCGCTTCTATTGTCCCAGTCCAATTACCGGATTACATGCAAAAACAATGCTTACGCAGAATATGTAAAACTGGCTTAATTTTAGTTTTAGAGTAAAAGTTATTATGAAATGTATAGAAAACAATATGCAATATATTGAATATTTAATACTTGTAAAATAAACAATCAAAGTTACACAGCACAATTACCAGTTCCATCACAAACATTTCTTAAACAATGTTGCCACCTTAATATGGCACATATTAATTCAAAATATTAATTACGCGCGTCACTCACACAGAGGCTCCCACGTAGCTACAGTGACGAAGTGGGAATTGTCTGCGTAGGAGACCGCAGAGGGTATAAATACGCCATACGCGTCACTCAAAAAGCCATTCTGACAGTCTGTTTGACAGTTCGGCCGTGTCCGAGTCGGTTGTCATTTCTCTGGGTTCGCCCAGCAGAAGCAGACATTTTTCGCTCACTCACTCAGACCATAGGTTTTTTTCCAAACATACAGTAGTTGCAGATACCGAAGTCGGGCTGTTGTATTTGGTTCTCCCTATCATCTATACCTGGTAATTGTGCTTTTTGTCACTATCGTTTCACCATAGTTGTATTTGTTTCTTTAAAAAAATATACATATAATATTTCGGTACGTAGACGATTATACACATCCTGAAAACGGTTGTCCATACGCCCGAAAAGGGACAGGATATCATACGTATTTTTTGCGTTTAAAATGGTCTAACGCTATTGACCAGGTAGCTATATGCACCTCGTTAAACGGCTGTAAATGTAGAATGGATGTAGTCGTAGTGCCGTCGTCTAACCCATTCATCTCTGCGAAACGGTTGTCTATACGCTTATAAAGGGCGGTGGAGAAAATACAATTCTCGCTAACATTTGCATTGTCTATATACCTGGCTGCCACGTTGTGAGCCGAAGGCAAATAAGAGTATTCACACGTTTATTGAGTACTTAACGATGTGTATATATTGTAACGATTTATCAATACCTATAACCCCTCATATGCTGCTCCTAATATTTTGTACAACGAACTTCTTGCGAACTTCAAGCAGGTAATACAAAGTAATTGTAATTTAATGTCACAGGTGCTTTTTGTATTATGAACTATTAAAAAAGTTGCAGTTATTTAATAAAAAAGGTTTTTGTATCCTTTATATCGAACTGTATCCCCTCCAAAATTGTTCTCAAAAAATTTAATAATAGGTACTTTTACTTCAAAATCAAAATTAAACTGGTTTTACTTATTCTACGTAAGCATTGTTTTTTCAAGTTATCCGGTAGTTGGACTAAGACAGTAAATGCGGGTATATCGTCTTGTATATAGAGGAACGTTGAATTTATAATTTTAAAATTATCTGTTGCATACAAATACTTATCTTAAGTTAATATGCTCAAACCGTTATAAGTTAGTTAGGTATTTCATCAAAAAATACAATAAATCGATGGGAAATGATGAAACCAATATTAAATATATGTCCAGTTGTAATTGACCGAAACGCGTGTTAACGTAACTTAATATGTGCGTGGTTTTTGTTTTTCGGAGGTTTATATCTTTAATTTTTTAATGTATACATTTTGTGTCTAAACAATTTTATTTTTTTAATAAGTACATAAATAACAGATCATACATCATTATAAAATATGCGGTTTTTCTCTGTGTTTTATCACAAGGTGCGATTTTTAGAGTCAACGATAATTTCAAGTTTGAAATGTTCCGTTTACATAACGTTGTCGCCGTCGTGCAAAAGTGTTCTGGTTTAAAACCACGTTGAATGTCTTATTATATTTCCATCCCAATATAAAAATAACTAGTAAACGCTATTTATAGCGAGCTTACATTACTCGACAAATTAAAATTTAATTCTTAGTGCTTTCAATGTAACTGATCTTTAGATATTATACCATAAAAAAAAAACATTACCGAGATATACATGAGTAAAAACGCACGCATATGTGCATCTTCAATCGACTAACAAAACAACGGCATCAAAGAAACGGTCTACAGGTACTATTATTGTATTTGTGTACAAGGACGATGATTCCGATATGGAACATACATTTGTACTGTATACAAATCAAATTGGCGCGGGGAAAAAAATAATACTGCGTTAATTAAGCTGACTATCACTTTGGTAAATTTGATCATATCCAATCGTTGAGGTACGTATCTATTTATAAACAATACAATATATATCATACTTTTTTTAAAATTTCTGTTATCACGTTAGGATACGCGAGAAATTATATGTATTAACGATTTTTTTTTTATAAACACACGGTATTGTGGATGATATATGAACAAAAATTGTATGTGCTGTTTTTCGATATCTCGACATTTTTCCCTCCGAAAATCATAATACTGAGTGAAAAAGGATAAAAATAATGAAATATATTTTACAGAGGAATACATTTTATACGAACAAAAGTGTTATGAGACATTTTTCAATATTTTAAATTTTTACTCAATAGCCATGTAGAGGGGAGACCATTTGTCCATTTCCATTTGATAATGCGAGTGAAAACGGAAAATCGGATTAATGTTTATTGTATTGTCATCCAAAATATAAACGTATATGCAAAATTTCAAGTCGATCGGACTGCGGAAAGTGGGTCAAAATCAATCAAAAGTTTTACATTTCTTCGTGTTTCTTCGCGAGTAAGTTAATACTAAGTATACTATTTATATTATGTATAATTGTATATATCTGTGGAACAATGTCAACAAAAAAAGTCATTTAAAAATAAATTCAAACCGGGATGTTGAAAAAAATGTATTAAATCTAACGTAAATTACACGGTAACTATTATTATAAACGATTTTCGTTGACACTGGCACTTTTCGCATCTAGCCGTAGTAATATAGACACAATAAACCGCAGTCATAGTCATCGCGATGTCCGACAAAAACTCGACAAATAATTAATAGTTGTTAATAAATATATAAACAAATAATATATGTAAAAAATATATAAATAAACAAATAATTAATCTAACTGTACCTTAAGTGATGAGTTTAATTTCTATTTGTCCCGTTCATTTTTTAAACCGTGCAAAGGTTACGACAATGTGAATTTAAACAGGTTTCAACAGATAACAATTTTTCATTTTATTTTTATTTAATTTTTGTATTTTTTTATGCATAGGATTAAATTATTCCTATGAAAATAATTTTCATAATTATTTTGACGAGCTGGGATACACGCGAATATTTGCGGATTTATTTAAACAACATTGTGTGACCCATCGCGCTCGATTATAATATAAAATTCGACGATAAAAAAAAAAACCTATAAAAAACAAGTATTCATTGATTGCGTGCTAAAAAATATATCCATAATGAAAATAGCGGTGTTAAATTTAAACAAAATAAAATAAAGGTATTGATTAAAAAAAAAAAAATCTTGGACGTGTATTTTTATTTTCAAAACACTGCAATACGCTGCTTTTTGTTTGATATTATTTATTTATAAAAACCTTGTGAAAAAAAAAAAATCAAAACTGAAAACCTAGCGAACGTTACAAAACAGTAGGTATAAAAAATACTTTTTGTCAACTTTTTAATCCGTACCGTCCGGAAAGATCAACGTGAAATAAAAACAAAATATATTTTGCACGAGAAGTCACAGAGATATACCATATAATATAGGGGATATTAGATAATGTAGTTTATACGCTGAAAGTTACGATAAGTCATTGCGATAAAAAAAAAATAAAAAAAAAAATAAGAAACAATTCTGTGTAACGGAGTTCGGTATACCGTCCGTGTTTCCCCGACCTCCCGCTTAGGAACCACGCGTCAATATACTTATAGCGATATTAAAATGTCCGGTCCGTGATAAACTAATCGCTCTGTATACTAAATTATTATTATACCCGCGTCGTATCGTATATTAACATATATAAATATATACATATATTTTTTTTTTTGAAAAATTCCGCGTCGTTATGAAATCGGTGTCTTATAATATTATTATTATTCCGTTTTCGATTTTCTCCGCGTGTTTAATAATTTGTCATCGTCTGCCGGTCCCCGCGCACTGGCCCGAGATACAGTTTACGAGTTTCGGACTACTGCTCTGTACAAGATTGATGGATAAATATTTATAAATTGTACACGGTATAATATATATAATGTTGTAATATATATATACATACGTGTGTGTGTGTGTGTGTGTGTGTGTGTTTCCTACGATAGTAACTTCGAGCAGATAAATGGCCAGGGCGTACATTTATTATATTACAATAATGTATACTCGGCTACACGAAATTAAAACTCGCGCCGTTCTCTCTTATACGTCGTGTTATTATAGTCGAAAACGTATTTCACGCGCGGTACGTCGCGGCTTTATAGCGAGACGTCTGGCGAGAAAGATTTCCCCGGGACGAGTCTAACTAAACGGTACCGTAAAAAAACGTTTTGGGCGCACAATTCGGTGGTTATTAAATCGAGCGATAATTATAATATCGTAACAACAGCGTCGAAAAGTCGACGGAACCTACCGAAACATATCCGACAATTTTTAAATAGAATTGTAGGAAACTTGTTGGAATTTGAATTGTAGTTTATTGCGTATTATTCGATTTATTTTATTGTTTATTTATTTTCGTACGGCCGTTGAGAATGCAAATGCAATATTATACCGCGAATATAAATAAACACAGAATTATGAACTAATAAAATCAAACATTTTTATTTTAAACATGTTAAGTTTTAGGTGCGTCACTAATTTGTCCTTTCGTCGGTGTTGTTAAATGTCCAAGTCCAGATTACTTAGCTATTTTACTGTCTCATCCGACTCTGAATGTAGGTCTTCTGGAATTCCAATGAACTTCCTATGCTCGCATTCCCTAACTGTTTATTGTACTAAAACGTGTTAATACAAATGTAATGCTGGGTTAACTAGCAGTAAGTATAAAGTTTAACGCGGAATAAATAAATATGAGTCAAACAAATCCCAACGTGTTTTTAACAAGTCTATTAAAATACTGCCGGAAGTTTTTCAAACGGCTTTAATACAAATGTAATGCCGGATACGCTATCAGTGCAAAGTAAAATAAGCCAAAATCCCCAATCCTGGCACCTGTTATGTTTAATATTTTCATTCCTAGGCTGTTTAAAATCTAATTTACTTGAACTAGGCAAATATTTGATTAGGTAACTATATTATACAAGAAATGTTAAGAAAAAACACCGTCCTGCATTTCTTTCTTAAATTGGATTTCATGTTCCTTCATTGTTAACTTCAGAAATAATCCATGCTTTCATATCTCCTCAATCTCTAAGAATTACGTTAACAATAGTTCAATATGTCGCTGGCCCAAGTCGTGAAATGATTTGGAAACTTTCGATTCCAACCATGATCCAATTTCTAAATTAAAAATACTATATTATCTTCATAACAATTTATGTAATTTGCCTATTGGCTGCTATGTGTAAATATTTAAACTTTAACTATTGTAGTTTTTACCCCTTGCGGGTGTTAAACAATTACAAAAAAAAAAAACAAAATAAAAAACAATGAGTATGACGAAAATGCTAAAAAGAGATCAGAATCGTTTGTAATTTAATTATAAAAACTGTTTTCGTGTTTCCGTACTCATATTTCACAGTAGTGAGATTTTAAATTACATAACCACAAGTCAGTATACAAATTTATCTATGTTACAGCTAAATTGTTTTTCTGATAACATAAAAACAATTAAAGTTAGTTTGTAAACTTTTGGGAATTTTTTTTTCATTTTTCATTTACTTTTAAATAATTATTAGGCAACCCCTTAAATTCAAGTAGCATCCCGTTAACAATAAGTCCACAACCTTTGAATAGCTAACCAGTGGCTATTTTAACATTTTTTGTGGACAGGGAAGGATTTAAAATTATTCTAAAAAAAGGCGAATTTTTTTATTGTGAATCAGTAATTATCTCAGATAATTTTAAGTGAATTTGAATTATATTTTTCTTTTCAGTCTTTGTACAATTGTTTAAGCTTTATTTTAAAATAATTTTTAATATTTTACCTCTACTACATAAATTTTATATCTACTTTTAAATGATAATTGATAACTCTTCTCTACTTCTCCGGTCTAAACTTTAAACAGTTATAACTTATAAATGGTAAATTTAATATAAGTGTTATGCATATCAAAATTTCTAGAAATATAAACTATATTCGAATCTTTGTTTAAAAAGAGGGGGTTTCCATTTGAAAAACTAAAATATCTTCTTATTTAATATATATGAAGTGAGAGAAAAAAATTAAAAATTGTTTTAAAATAAAACTTAAACAAATCTACAAAGATTAAAAACATATAATTTACATAAAATCCTCCGAGATAATTATTTGTTAATGATAAAAATAATCACTCAGTATAAATTAATGTTCTCTTTTTTTATACCCTTCTAGCAAGTCATTTATGACTTTTGAATCAATTTTTTCTTCTGGGGGGGTCGAGACGCAGGACATCCACCCCCCCCAAAAAAAATACGCCACTGTAAATAACTATGTAATGTAATGCAGTTGACATAAGATTTAAGTATTAGTTGTATGTAAATGTAAATAGGCTTGAGAATAATCTTAATTTATAGGCAAAAAACTACTCGAAAGATTTCAAAACTCGTATTGTGAATTAATGATTATGAAATCAATACTTTTATTAAATTATTATTAATATGTATTCTTTTAGAGAGCAAAAAAAAAAAAAATATATATTATGCTAATTCCAAGTGCTGCTCCCAATTCGTTGGGAGTTTAATTAAATAAAAATGTGTCATACGATCAATTGAAACTGTTCACGGAAACTGAAGGGAACATTTTATAGGTTTATACTTTGTATTCTGGATTTTTAATTCAATTTTTGGAATAATATTAAACTGTTTGATTACTGGGCCATTAATTTTTCTTATAAAACAGTTTTTTTTTTTTTTTTTTGTGAGAACCCTTATTTTTAAAATCAAATTCGAATAAATTTGTCGAATTTTCCAAGTCACGTGTATAAATATTTAAAAAGTCTGATTGTGAAAAAAAATTTTAAATGTTGACAATTTTGTTTAAAATTTTAAATAGTTTTAATTTTGTAATCCAAAAACATAATTAAAAACTATTGATCAAATACATAGTTTTAAAGTGTTATCTGTTTCCGTGGTCACGCTGTATATAATTATTATTACTATCGTAATATTATGAGAAAATAAACATAATAAAAACAATATCGAAATAATCTTTCGTCGCCAATATCGAAAAGTTAAAATTTAAATAAAACATTTTAATACTCGCTTAAAAAACAAATATTAACATGTATAAGGTGCTATACAAAGGTGCTTATGTAAAATATTCATTATTAAGTAATCTACCTATAACAAATCACGTGTTATTTATTTTTATGACAATTAAGAGAATTCCGCAAACTGAATATTTAAATAAGTTTACCGTATGTACGCATTTAAATAGTCCAGTATCATAATGTATTGTGTAATCGTCTTATTAATTTAAAAACGTGTTTACGAAAAACCGAAAAAATGCTTATATCCTTGAAAGTGATTTTAGTGTTATTTACTCATATACTCAACTTGTAATTAAACAATGTTAAAGAAATTACGTGTACATTCAGTGGCGGATCTATACGAATTAGATAAATGAGGGGGCTAAACAAAATTATTTTTATTATCATGTCATAGGCTAACGCTAATGTTAATAAGGAGTCATATATAAAATTTAGAGTAAAAACGGATTTAGATAAATAAATGAGTCTCTATATATAGTATATAATATATATAGTGGATTTATCCTGACTGATAGAGAATCAACGCAGAGCCTAAACCGCTGCGATTAGAAACTTGACGTTTTCACAGTAGGTAACTTTTATACCGTTGACATCGACTAAGGAAGGATTTTTGACGATTCCACCTCTAAAACATAGCTGACACAGGGTTGTTGATATTTTTTGTACATTTAATTTGTTGAATTATAGGTTACCTTGGCGACATGGATGATAGTTTGATTGTCACGGACAAGAAAACTATTACTATTTTTATTTCTATTGTACTATTACTACTATTACTGTTATTTACATTATACGTTTTACTGTTTACTAGACTTTTATAATATAACAGGTAAAAGTGATTTAACATTTTGTTCGTTGTCTTCACAGAGATAATAAATATAAATATATTACCTATCTGAAAAATTCGAAAAATTGAATTTGAAAATTAAAAACCCCTGTGTCATTAGTAAACCATCCTTGTACAAATACAGAATAAAATTAAAAACATAAAATATTAGGTGATAATATTATCCGGGTCGCTTATTTGTGTTATTTCTAAATTGTAATTATATCCGGGCCGATATGGCGATATCTACAGGCAACGACCGAATAGGTTGGTCTAAACGCAGTTGACTGGGTTGGCTGCTTATAGATTTATTTCATAACTATCAAATTAATAATTAAGTTCAATATAATAAATGATGGAAAAATCTATACATTGTACCCAACCTTCGAAAATAAACAATTGAATACGGCTAATATTATTTATTGACAAAAGCAAATAAATTTATAATAACTATCAATCACTAATAACAATAAAAAAACTTCATCGGCGCCGACCGGCGGCTCCGTCAGCTGGCGAATAGCACCACAACGCAGTACCGTTATCACCGCCACCGCGTTATCCCGTACGGGGCGCTTTAACCCGCCCAGTGCTTCACATTTCGGCGGATTGTGGGAAGCAGCTGTACGGTCCGCGAAGCGTTTGTCGGTTCGGATCGTGGGTGCGCGCACCTTCATCTACGAGTAACTCGCGACGGTGTTGTGCCCCATTGAGACGGTATTCAATCCCCCCCCTCTCTGTACCTCGGACGCCCGTGGCCGTTCGATAGTCGATCGATGGGGGCTCCCGGTCCAGTGTAACCAGTTATTCTGATTAGCGGCCAAACCATATGCTTATACCCGTTTCGAGATAAAACGATTTTTCGACACTAGGTTTTTATGTAAGAAACCAAAGGCCGACACTGGCTTACACTCTAGACACGCATCAGCCGATAAGGCCCTGTGCCTATTTTTATATGTACAGCTCGAATAGTTTTATATCGTGTATATTTGTTTAATTATTGTAAAAAAAAAAGATGGGGGAGGTTATAAAATATAAATAACAATAAGTACGAATAAAATTATACATAGTATTAAAAATCAAAAGTATGGAGAGGTTTAATATGGGTAATGTGAACCATGGACGGGTTACTGTTGATTATTGAATAGAACTATTGAAAGGAAACCTTTATGATCTACAGACTCCGAACTATTGTTGAAAATTTGAAATCAATGGGCCTCTCCGAAAAACCTTATATTATATACTAAGATTATTGGTCCCAAAATCCTTTATTATATCTAAATTATCAGCGAGGCTTTAAGTATCAAGTTCGACCTTGAAAAAACGCACATCCGAACGAATACTCACCAAGATCTTGTTAATGTACAATTCGTACGGTATGACCGTAGTTCCGGTGGTGGACTCCACGGCGGCAGCCGACATCATTTCCTCTAGTTCTTCGTCTTCAAACGGTTCGCCGTCGTGCCGGAGTGCCGACTCCATGCACTCGCGACTCACTGTTCCGGTCCGTTCGGGATCCAACGCCCGGAAAGCGCTCAGCAGTTCGGATGCTGAAGCAGGCTGGTACCTGATGTACCGGATAAAAAAAAAAACAATTGTTTCATTCAGCGATGATAACTTAAATAAATTTATCAATAAGAAAACAGAGAGAAAAAAGAAAAAAAAAAGACTGACATATCCCGCACGTGGGTGTAGTCACTGTTGTATAAGTGGGAAGTTAGGAAGGTATGATACAGACGGGAACTTAATGTATATCCGTAAGCAACGATAAACTATTGCTAACGAAAAGACGGTTCTGCATGAGCGAAGTTCAGTAACTGATAATGTTGATTTGTCAACAATACAATCTATATACATATTATATTATGGTAAAATGATTGCAACAATGTGCGTTTCCATAACAACAATGATTGTTTAAAAAAGATTAAAATAATAACAAAAAATAAATAAAAACGGTTGCCAACGATAAAATAAAAACGATCTTTCAATTTTTTTTAACCTAAAGACCGAAGTTTTTCTCATTGTTAATGAGATTTTCAAAAAATGACCTCTGTAAAGTACCACCCAGAAAATATTTCCTATCAGAAAAGCTGCTATACTTGATAATCGGAGTAAGGGAAATTCTAAAAATCAGAATTTGAAGTTATGCATAATAACGAATGGGTTGAGCGTGCGATGAATAAAAAAAAATGATCCGGCTTTAATTGTATTTATTTATATTGTAATCGAGTGTTAAACAGTTTCGCAAAAATACGTATTGTTACGTACTTACAACGAAATGTGTTTTTATATTGTTACGATAAGCGTTTTTTATTCCTAAAAACTAAAACTGCTACGCAAGAACTTGACTGGCTGAAAAAATATTGGATATTTCAAAATTTACTATTGGAACGGTTCGACTTGGGTATACTATTCATTCATGGTGTATATACAATATACGTACTTAGTAATAATTTTGCTTCGTTTTATTTATTTTATTCTTTTCGTTGTTTATCGTTTTACAGAAAGTTTCTATTCGGTATGCCCGGAAGTGCCGGTCAAAATTGTTGACAAAACAGAGGTTATAGTGCTCAAAACAGAGGTTATAGGGTCTAGTTATAGAGATATAGTGCGGTATACGCACTATATAGTACATTAGTTTTGTATTAAATTTGATACACTACATCTTTTGTAATGTTTATTTTATTTTTTTTTATATACTGATGGTAATTTTTCTTTGTTTTTCAGTGCGTGGCAATAAACTTTGTTGACAAATCAAATTTGCAGACAATTACATTACAGCCCGACACAACTCGACCACTATAGTTGAAATTTAAATCTGATTTTTTTAAAATGTTAAATATAATTTGCTCGTCCGTATTAGACGATTTCACAATAACCATACTATAATACATATTTTTTTTTTTTATTTTTTTTATTAAGACATTTTTGACAAAGTCAAAAGAACAATAAATACCTATTACTTCAACAGTTTGCGTTACGTTTTAACGAAAACACATTCATTGTAAAAATAAATTGTTTTTTTTTTTTTTTTATTCAATAGCAATATAATTTCAGTTTATAATTAATCAATTATTTCTATTTAACTATTTCAAATTTCGGTTTTTTATTTCAATTTTTTTTTTTATCGTACATCATACCTTCCTTAACAGGGTATTCCGCGAAGATGAACCCATTCGATTATATGGAGATTAATAACTCCGGAGAAAAAAAAAAAAACCAACAAATTTTTTTTTCATATTAATATTATATTACTCACAGGGATAAGGGCTACAATTAATACTTATATTTCTATGAATTATTTATATTAACGTAAAAAAAAAAGTAACTTTTTATTTTAATACTTTCGAAAAATTTGAAAATAGCCATATTATAGGATTTTAATAATTCAACTGAACATTTTGACGATCAACATTTTGTTGTTATTAAATTAGTGATTTTTAAAAAATTTTTAAAGTTCAGAGAAAAGTACCTAAAATTATGCAGTAGGCTATTATAGCATTCGTTAATTAATTATTATTATTTTAGTTAATTTCTTGTACCCTTTTTCCTTGGAACTTTAAAAAATTATCAAAAATAAAAGTTGGACCGTCAAGAAAAAGAATAAACTTTACAAAATGGCTATCTTCCAATTTTTCGGAAATAATAAAATAAAAAGTTATTTTTTAAATTTTCTTACCAAAACATAAAAAAAATAACTGAAATATAATTAATATTATAACTGTGAGAAATGCAAAATAAAAAAACCAGAATTTGATTATCTTTATTATCTCCAAAAGTGTATCACATAGGGCAATATCTTCGTAGGAAACCCCGTCCGATTCCATTCGATAAATAAAATTATAACTGCACATGTTTTTAATTATCAGATTATTAATTAATTTTTTTTTTAGTTATATTTAATATAACTCAATAATATGCTTAATAAATGATCACAACAATCAGTCTTTACTTTCCGATCTAAATATTACAACTTAACAAATTATTGAACACTTGTTATTTTTTCATGCTAATATGATCATAAATTTATTTTATACATAATATTAACTACTTAATAAAGTAAATGATGGAAAAACAATTATTTATCCTAATTTAGATTGTGTAAATATACGTGCGGGTAATACATAAATATCCGAAATATTTTTTTTTTTTTAAAATCCCTCGTTGCTAACTTTTTCCGCTTTGTTATATTTCACCTTCGAAGTTTGTGGTACACATTAAAAATTCTGACAAGTTTATTTACGAGCATAATATTCCGCACATGTTTGTCCTCCGTGTTTAAAAAAAAAAAAATGTTGAAATACCCACACACCCGCGAGACAGGAATACAGAAACGTTTAAAAAAAAATCTAATTATATAATATATAACCGTTATAGCCGTAAACTTTCCCCCCCCCCCGATTTTTCCCAGTAAATTATAATAATTAACTGATAAATCAAAAACGATTTTCTTATCGATTTTTCTTTTGGAAATAATGCTACTCTTGAAATTTGGAACATGATTTCTGTTGGAAAAATAAAATTGAACTAATCGAAAATAATGAAAATTTGATTGCTGTAAATTTGTCTGGTCTTCCTATATGGTTTTTGCCGTTTTTCCGAATTATTATGAAAACTTCGTGGGTAATCAAAAAATGAACCCCTCGACGCACTGACTAGATCCAACATTTTTACAAAAAAGCCGACAGGAAATTTGTCTACAGATAGAGCTCCCGCTGCGCTCAGAATCTAAATTATAGGTGTGGTCGGATTTTCTACTGCATTCGCACCTACGGCATACTGCTCAAATATTTCTCCGCTTCACGGTTCACTTATTATTCGCAGTTCTTTGACTTACACTGGTTGACACTTAACGTCAGTATTATCCTGATAATGCGAGCAAAATGTTCCGAATAAAAAGTACTACGACAATTAATGTAACGTTTGAACAGATCGATTCATGTTAATAAACCGAACAAGTGTTTTTTCAGAAAAAAAAAAAAACAACGCGTCTTAATAAAACTCGTAATATAACTTCTTCGCAACATTATCGGAATCAAAAATATTGAGTACACTCGTAAAACTGCATGGTCCGTAAATATTACGATGTTTTAATAATTTTTATTTAAGAACACGGAAAACGACCGTTTCGCGTATAAAACCTATTTATTTAACGATGCGTGTTAAAAAATCCGTTGTTCAACGATCGAATTACTGTTTTATGTTGTTTTATTATCATAAAACGAATAATTGTGTGCCATTAGACACGGCACGGCACCTGCTCGGCGGGATATAATCAAAATCTTTTTATAACAGTGTAATAATAATAATAACAATAATAATAATTATACGTGCTCGTCCCTATCCCCCCCTCCTCTCACCAGTCATATTTGGTTTACTGTATTATATTTAATAAAATGTCATAAAAATGATTAATTTTTCTCGCTAAATATATTTGTCTAGCGCGAATCTTTGTCGGGGGAGATTTACTCTGGCGGTAAAATGTTCATTATATACGGATAACTGTTCAAACGTGTTCATTTCGTATGAATTAATTTGAACCCTAACCCAGACCTAAATTGCGCACGATTAAAAAGAACGCCAGCTGCTTGTATATAATATATGGTCTGGGGTAATTGAAAAGAGCATTAATTATAATACTTATATTTTTTTTTTCTTTTAACTAAGCTCGACGCACCATTTATATTACACGTAATTAAATAAATAATAGAAAAAAAAAGCGAATATTGCTAATTGATGTGCCGCTGTTTAAGGCGCAAAGTTGTGAAGGTAGGATAATGTTATGAAAAAATTTGATTTATATCCGCAAACAAATATAAATCATCGGTAACGTGAAACGATTCTGAGCGAAGTTCAGTTAAAGAATTTTTTAAATGTCGTGTTTGTACGATTTGTAAAAAAAATACCGAACGTAAAGAGATTACAAAACCAATTACTACATTACTCATCGGTTTTTTTTCTTACTACCGCATAACATCGTAATGTTACTATATAGGTAATTACTACATTCGATTTTTTTCTTCTGATTGCGTTTTACATGTCTTTTTTTTAATTTTAAAAATCGCACTCTATACACAAAAGACCTAACGGAACCCGTGTAAAAAAGTAAATGTTGAAATATAAACCTACAGTAGCGGTATAGGTACGTGAATAAAATGCATGGGAAAACTTAACTTTGTGTTACGATATTGCCTATTGAGTCCGTATTAATTATATATACAATTTAATTATGCACAACGTTTTGATTCCATAATTATTAATTTCGATATAATATCGTAAACGCGAGAAATGTACGAAGCACCGGCGTCGCACAGTTTACGAAACGAAAAACGCCCAGCCGGATGACTGAGACTAGTCTCTTTGACTGTAAAAAATCATTATTGCTGTGATTTCCTACAAACTTTGTTTTTTACCTCCTATTTATTAAAATTGAGACTGCCGTTCAATCGTTTAGTCCGTTTCACGACCGTGGTATTGCTATCGCGTCATGACCGTCGTCCCTCGTTATCACCAATTCCAAAAATAGGTCAGAAAAAATAAAAAAATTCAAATGTATTACAATGACAACAATAGGTTTGCACATCAGTTATACAAATAATTGAAAAATATTTTTTCAAAACTTTTAGTTCCTTATGTTATAACGATCGGAGGAAATGCCGTCTCAAAGTTTACCCTGGCGCACCGCAGTGGCGACTCGTGGGTAAAATAATTGTTGGTGCACATTTAAAAAATTGTATACACTAAGTACAGTCGATTCAGAAAACAGGAACTAAAACGAATATTTTAATGAAACATGAATATATTTGTATTTTTTTTATATAGGAGGTTTTTAGATAGAAATCCACAATAAATAAGTGAATTAACGTGTTTGTTTTCATTACATTACATTAAATAATATTATTTGGGAATTGAGTTTACACCGGGCCAGTCAGTGTTATCTATAGGGTATTTTTGTAGATAACGCCACCCGCCGGACAAATGTAATATTATCCAAAAGAAATAATCAGTTCCCAATGTATTCTCCGTCAGCAGCGGCAGACGGCTGTACGGCCCCGGCGGTGCAATATTCGTTTGTGCACCAACACACCACCAATACTAATGGTAGTTGTACCGGTAATAGGACCGAAACGGGCAAATTCGCATGTGCAACTGTTGCAAAAATTGTATTTGCCCGTCTATACTCCGTAACCGTTGCCGCTACAAATTGTGTACGATGGCATACCCATAACGTGCGATAACATTCGTTTTTCTCATTAAATTAATCCATATTACATGTACGGCGCACGCAGTTAATAGAGTACTTGATGATATTTGAAAATTATATCCCGACATTAATATATTGATTAATAATCGTATATTAAGTATTTATTTAAAATTTAAATACATATGTAACTTATTTCGTTTATTTCAGGAAAAAAAGCTTTCCTAAAAGCACCTAAGAAATACCTAATATTCTTTTACCTTTATCTATTATTAAAAGACGGGGAAAATGGTTAAATGCTGCACTTTTCTATGCAAATAATTTTGAAGAGTTTAAAAACGCGATTGAAAGTTTAACAGACGATGCTACAAGTGTTGTAAGCTAAAATATTTCGTACAAAATAATGTTGTTAAATGTGGTTTAGCATTCATAAAATTACATTTCTCCGAGTTATCCATGAATCTAGAAATTTGGAAAAATCTAATAGTGAACTACTGAAAAGCATAGATATTTTTAGAAAAATTGAAGATATTTTAACAAATATTCCTGGCCCAAATGGGAAAAAAATTAAAGAAAAATGTATGTGTGTAATTGAATAAAATGAAATATATACAACTTTAATGTCTTAGTATGAAGTCATGCTAGGTAAAGCAAATGTTATTTTATATATAACGCCTACTTTATTACATTTTTTTGAATATTCACCAATAACTAGTGTAGACGTAGAATGTAGTTTTTCTTTGTACAAACATATTTTAAGTAATAGAAGATTTAATTTTAATGAAAATAATTTTGAAATGTATCTAATTATCAATTTCAATTAAAAAAAGTAACGTATATCTAAATTTTTTTTTATATAACTTTTGCATATTTATAATGCAATCTATTATGCAATTTTTACGTATTTTAAATGCAATTAAATCCGGTCTTAAATTCTAATATATTATTATATGTTACGTTGCCTAGTCAACCACTATATTTAATTTATAATTATTTTACATCATTATCGTTGAAAAAAATTGTTCATTATACTGATATGTTCGAAAAAAAATATTTGAATAGGCGATTTACAAATATCTAAGAGTATACAATTTTCCTCGCTTTGTATCGAATTTCGCGTACGATCAGCAATCGTATTTATCATAGATTGTAGCCACTGCGATGGCCCAACTACCATCATAGTGACCGATCGGTCTGTTGTAGATCAATCTCGATCTGACAACACTAGTAGAGTGGACGAAACATCAGGCAGGTTTTGTCAGTTAGAGCGAATTGGACAGCCAATATTTTTCCGACTCAACGCTACAACATATATACTTGGCGGCGCACGATAAGGCAACCGAATCGACGGTCGTGTTAACTAGTATACCGAAACCAATGGATTTTAATATTAACGGACGAAACGACCCCGCAGCCGTGGCTGCTGAAGTACCTGCCAGACCACTGAAAATCACCGGCTCCAGGGACGAATTCAATTCATGTATCGTCGACGTTAAACAGCTCAAGGAGGAGATATCCGCAATGCCCAAAAAACAGTCGCGGTGGAAAAAGTTCCAGAAAAATACAGCTGTTTGTTTTTACGTTTGGCTGCTGCAGTCGGAAATGAGAGAACTATTGTTTAGCTATCTAAACATGTGGGACGAGTAATTTATCAGAGGATTTATGATTATTGTCGGAAGAACGGTTCGTTCGCGAGTCGGAAATAACTGAGGGAATGCATTGTTTTGTGGTATTATTTCAATGTTATTTGGAATATGTCAAGTATAATCCAGTCGCCTATGTAGTTTGTACACCTTAGAAAAATTCGGTAATAAATGAAATTTTGAAATGTTGTTTGTGGGTATCCATTAGTGCTACACCCATTTTATTCTACAGAAGAAAAATCAATTTTTTTTTTTTAAGGGGAGCAGTGAAAAACTCCAAAATCTTCGTATTTTTTTATAAATATTTTAAAAAAAGTAGATTTAACATGACAACTTCAAATTATTAAATTGTAGAAGATTAAATTTTCTACATTTTTCATTAGTAAAATGTACTTTTTGACCTAATAGGAACCAAGATACAGAGTTTCGAAAAGTACAAAATTTCCAAAATTATAAAAAACTGCTAAAAAGAAGATTATTGACATTTACTTGCCACTTTACAAAGTATTTAATGGAACTGTGGTATTTACTTCCATTTATATACGTCAAGTATGCATACGTTAAGTGTAACGATTTTTTGACATAAACATCGTGTCGTCAGCAAAAAAAGGATTATTTTAATCGAAAAGAAATAATTAACAATTTTGCCAAGAATTTTACTGAGTGGAAAACAAATTCAGCGTAATGTAGTGGTTTTTTTTAGATTTGGATTGAACGAGGAATGTATTGGTTTTACAATGACATTTTTTTTTTCTATGAGCAATTTGTATACCAGTAATCTTGCTTCATATATTAAGTGTGGAACTTTTTCCGAAAGGCAATTTTATCTACCTAGTACTTTATGGAGATTATTTTTTGATTTCAAAGCGGTTTTCATAATATTTGGTGGAAGACGTAGGAAACTGGAAAATTTATGAAAACAATGCTTTTGTTTCAAATTTTATTTTTATTATAATTAAGTTATATTATTATATCTTACCTCCTCAAATTCTTATCCACAACAGTGAGACACACATCAGTAGCATCATCCCTTTTGTTTTTGTTCTTTTTACATTATTTTATGTTTAATATTATGTTTTATACGATATTATTTTACTCACTTGTATTCGCTAATAGCGTTTTCGACGTACGGTAAAAATGCAGCAAGATGAACTGTTCCGGTCGCCTCGTGATCTTCGACATTTACGGCCAGCTCCCTGAGATCGGCTTGAGACGGGACGTAACCTGTAGACATTTTTCAAAACCCACGTACATTATGAATTTATGTACCGAAACATAATATTGTATATAATTTATTATATTAACCTCTCTTCGTATACAACGCGACGTGCATTTCCGACCTCTTTTCACGCCGTAAATGATGAAAAAAATAAAGCCTTTTACAAGATATTTCTTATACCTAATCGTCTCATAAATAATATTCTATACACGCAGTGCTTAAAATGACCTACAATTTTCAATATCGTTTTTTTTTTTTTTTGTTAGCGTTTTGCGAGTGACCGATTGTAGAATTATAAATGATTTTCTGAAGACGAGAATTTTAACCTCTCAAATCTAACATAAACCAAAATATTTTTTTTTTTTTGGAATTCTACCCATACTCTTATCATGATATTAAAAAAAATAAAAATAAAATAACTATCGATAAGAAAAGACTGCGTTTTCCCGTATAATGAATTGAGTTTGAAATTTTACACAATTTATTTTTAATTATATCTTACGATCGATTTCGTTTAAAAAGCTCCGTTACAAAATAATGAAAATTATTATTGAACAATATGGAAAATAAAAATCAATGTGTATTACGGCTTAATAAGTAATATTATATAAAAGATCTTAAGTGGTTTTTATTCTATGAAAACAGGAAATTAAAAAAAAAAATAAAATGAGAACCTTATGTTGAATTCTCAACAAGTTCCATTAAAATTTGAATTTTAAACGCACGCTTATATTAAAAAAAAAATATTTCACTAAGCCAAACTTGCTTTTTGTTACTAAGCACAACTTATAATGAACCTCGTATAAAATTGTCAAGCATTACTGATCGATCAAAATATCACTATGAAACCAAATAAAAACTTAAAAAATAACTTGAAAAAGCCAATTGCCTATGAATAGCTCAAAAATTGCGTTTATAAAAAGCTAATAATATTACTCAGATTTATACGATTATTTTACTTGAACTACAAAAAACCGAAATCGAAAACAATGGTTTTTTTTTTTTGTATACAATTGGTCATCAAACAACACTCTTTATTGTAAAAGGGTCACTCCCGTTGAATTCTAAATAAATAAATAAATAAAATGCCTTTATAAAAATGATATTCTTGTATAAATATATAGATGTTGTAAAACTAGAATACATATATAGAATTTTAAGTTACACCAATTTTCTCACATAAACATTTGAAATAGGGTTTTCCTAATGTATAACGAAAAAGTCGTAAAAAATAATATTATATAAAATTATATGTATGTGCTTTAAATTTTTAGAATTTTTTTTTAGAGGTAGGGTGGTTTTGGGATCGAATTTTATAATAATTAAAATGAGAACTTTTATTTTTTTTCTAATGTTAACCATAGATATTATTTTAATGAATTTTAACGGTCGAAAAACATATTTTTTATGCAAAACTCTTTGGCCTGAAAGCGATTTAAAGTTTTTAAAAACTGTGTGTAGTACACACGCGCGCATTAAACACGCACCCGCGGCACGCGTTCAGAATTTTAAATAAGCAGTTAAATTTACGTAAACTTAACCCTCGCTGTGGCTGTTTTATAATCTTGTAAAAGGTTTGTTAATAATAATATACTGTGTAATATTATAATGTAAAATAATTTTTTTTTAGTATAATACTGTATTGTAATTCTGTATTTAAAATTTCTCGGTACGCGTACTATTGTTTTATGGCAACATAAAACGCACTATATTTTATTATGATCTATAAAGAATTAAGGACAGTATTTTTTCCTGCCGTAATATTATTTACATTTATAACGAAAAACTGGCGAAATTCAACGAGATCGAAAAAATCATAACAATCCGGAGAGAAAAAAAACCGATACCGCCGATGGGTGCATCATTGTTCTAGGAGAAAAATGGGAAAGGGGGAAATACGATGACAATATATACACGCATGCAGAATCGTTGTTTTCCCCTAGAATACCTGGAAATGTTGCCAGTTTTTCTCATTTATCAGTAAACCAATTATAGATCCGCTACAAGAATGTCTGATTGGCGCAACAAGATTTTGTAGCAGTCAAGTTGTTTACAGAACACCCACAGAAAGGCACATCATAATATAGTAAAACCAATACCGACACATTATTACTTGTTTCGCTCGGAATCTAAAATTAAAAAAAAAAAAAAAAATATCTATATATATATATTTTTTTCGTTAAAATCCGCCGGAATTATATTTGTATTTTGTGTGCACCGAAATACACCGCGCCCGCGTGTCTCTTCTTCTGTGCCATCCGCTGGTTTTTTAAATAATATTAAATTATATATTATTATTCCGCCTATACATGCACGTTAAATTATAAATAAAATCGATCGCTCCGCGAGAGCTCGCTTTGTCTTTCATTCCATTATCGTCAATGACTTCGCGCGGTGCACGCACTACACATCATTTCACTGTACACGCACATAACACGCACTTAAAGTGAAAATGTTCATAATATCATAGGTATTTATTATGAATACAGGACTAAGCGGCGACGAGAGACCGTAATGGACGTCGACAGTATTTCGTATCTGCTGCCTCCGGTCGATCTGAATAAGTTCTACGACACGAAAGATGTAAAACGAGTCACCGGATCCGATCCTCGTATGTTCCTCGGTCGGAGCTGTCGCCGGCCCGTGGCCACACATTGGCGTCAACTGTGAAGTAAGGATAGTAGTGTAGACGTGTAGCTTAGGTGTATCTAGATATCCTATAGGATCATCAATCTTCAATACAGTCACCAATTTTACCAAAAAGAAACGGATCGGACAACACTGGTAGAGGAGATTTAATGTTAAACCTAAATAATGTGTAGCCAAGTATTACAAATTCGTTATCAACAAAACTTCGGGCTTATTTCTCTAGTCAAAAGTTTAGATTTTTTATGTAAGAGAGTTATCATATTTAATTTGCATTTCCTGTCGTTTTAATAACAAAACGAGTTTAATAAATAATTAAAATTTAATTAATAAAGGTACGGATATCAGCAAATTGTAGATGGTTTTTGTTTTAAACTAATGTTCCCTTCTCAGTAGTACCTTATTGAGGTGTTTCTCTGCGTCAGCTATCAAACGCACATTTGAAAAACGTAAATATTTATTATTAGATGGCCTGCGAAAAACAATAAATCGGTACGTGGTGTACGAAACCAACAAATTTGGGAACCCCTGCTCTAAATCATATTGGACTCGTTGCCCTATGTATTTTCAGGCTCCAATTACGTCTATGGTATTCGGCCACTAACTAGGACGGATTAGAACCGTATTATAACCGTTCCTCCGGTTTTAACTCAATTTATATAATATGTTGTGCTTTATGATCTTTTCTTATTTAAATACTAGGCCCTTCTATTAAATAAAGTTTCGAAAATATGGATTTTTGACAAATGACGAAAATATATATTTGTATTTTCTATATTTTAAATAGGTACCTACATTTTTAATACGTACAATTTTGCTTACATTTAAGATTTCGGATTCCGAAAGTTCGAATAATCGAACTTTATTATATTACCTAATGTGTTGTAAAAATAATCAAATAAAAGGCTATTTTTTAAGTTTTTTTTATAAAAGCACAAAAATAAATTGCAATATAAATATTTGTAGTCCTTATTTCTACGATTAATGTAAAAAAAAAAAAAAAACAGAATTTGATTATCTTTATTATCTCCGGAGGTATTACAATGGGTACCTAACTTTCGTGGGACACCATGTATTTTAATACTTTTGTCAATTTGTAAATTATTTACCTATTTATGGTGCGTGTTTATTTTCGAATAAAATATTGATATGACAGTAATATGTTAAATTTACCGGACATTATAATTTGACGACATATTATCAAAAAATTTCATACTAGGAAATAATTATATTTTAACAAGGCAGTACGATTTGACGAAATACTCACAATAATTCCGTACTAAATATTGATGCTAACATTTTTCAAAATTAAGAACTGGGCGGGACTGTCGTACCGTACGTCCACTAACAATTATTTTTAACGCGTTCTACACGGGCACTACATACAATAATCGAACAATTAAAAACGAAAAAAATCGAACGACGTATCATTGACGTTCAAGACGTTCACAGCAAAATAAAATGAAAACATATTATGATAATTTACGTCGTGTATGGTATTTTATAAAAGTTATTAGAAATACCTAAATAACATCAACACGGTTTTGCGATACGCGGCCGTGTGGCGCTTGCCGACGCCGTCCTGAGTGTACAGACGTAATTATTACGGGTTGAGTATGATTGTATTTTTCTGTGTGTTCAATATTGAACAAGGTACGGTACTCGGCCAAGTGATCAGACGAGTGAAATGAGCGAGAGAGCGAATAGAAACTGTTTCTGTTTGCTGGGCCGAGTAGTGCTGCCCCCATTACCAAGATGTACTGTGCTCAGCGTGTCTAAACTGCCCGTCGAGTCGTGTACCGATTACCGAGTAGCTGTGAATTCGGCAGTGTAGTCGTTTGTTGCATTATTTAATCAAACATTTAAATTACATTTATTACATTATTTACATTTCAAATAAGTGTGGACCATTATCACAAAGCAAAACAAGCTTTTATGGAAAACATCAATAAACTCATGCCGATGATAATGGATTTATCAAGAGACGAGTCGAATACGGGAAACAGGAAACGGATTCGGACGAGAAATCGGATATCACGTAGACGTACTCACGGGGCTTTAGTTGGACTTCCCAGGGGCCACTCAGCCCAGCAAATACCAAATGAAATGCGTTTCTCTAACCCCCTACACCGCTAAAAACACACGATTTTTTACTGTAAATAATTAATACGTAATCAACATGAATTCGTACGACCATTGCCGAACAGCAAAACGAGTTTCTCGGCCGAGAGCTCGTCACACGTAAACAAGGCACTTTTACCCGTATGAAGTTTCCATTACATTATGCTCGGGATACGCATAAAATTATTATTATTCAACCTCTGCGGGCAAAACGTTTCATCCTTTGAAATATTGTAATAACAATTCAGTTAACATTTTCCGAGACACGCGACTGCAGAATGCGCGGTTATTAACCGTCGTGTTACGGACGAATATGCAAGCAAAATGCATTACTGCAGATGGAAATATCGTTATAACTTAATAATTGGTACCTGCGGTCGATTGTTATTATTTTACCCGTGCAGACAAAATTAATAGTTTCACAGACTTAACGGCGTATACATTTATTATGAAACGCTAGGTAATTAAATATTATTACAGTGTTCCGAAAACCTCGTCTCCGCTTTTTTTTTTTTCTGCTTAAAGTAATTAGTATAGGAAAACCGTAGTTGAATGGCATAAGTTTCAAATTTTTATTTCAACGAATTTTCTTGTGCGATTTAGTTTTTTGAATTTTCAAGTTAAACCATTTTTTTTTTTTTTTTTATAAATATACACAAATGCTATCACGAACTATTAATGAAACAATTTTCAAGAGCTAAAAAAAAAAAAAAACGCTCTACAAATGTAAAAAAGGACCGCAGATGAATCTATGACCATACTATCATATTATTATCGTATGTTTATATCGGTATATCGTCACTTTTTTTACAACACAACGTATCACAAAAATTGATAAAATAATATTGTCTATTTATCGATATTATTAAAACAAGTGTTTCCCAATATTTTCGGTTCTATAATTTATATTAACACCACTCTTGTCAAACCCTAGTATCGTATCTGAGTCAATAACACGAGACAATAATTTCGTTTTTTTTTTTTTTATCTAAAGTAGATGTAACGCAAAACACATATCAATTTTAAGATATTACCAGTGTTTAACATATAGCGGGACTAAATAGTTTCAACAATGTTATTTTTTTTTATCATTCTGTAAAACTAAAAAAAAAAAAAAACCCGAGATTCGCGCTGTTGCAGTATACCAGTAACGGTATTGTGCGGTTTTAAACAACCTAACCATCATTCTATGCTCCCGTCTCGGCGAGCTGTTTATACTTGCCCAAGTACCGGAGTACGGTGCCGAGTTCGCGGACGTCGATTGTCCTGTTGCCGCCGTGGTCGAATATGTCGAAGGCGTCGGCGATGGCCGCGGCCGTACAAGTGGACGTGGACGTCGCCAAAGCAGCCGCGGCCGCCGTCTGCGAACCGACTCCGTCGTTCGGTCTTACCGACGACGGCATGGTGGTGGTGGTTGGAGTGTTCGTCGCGGTCGCGGTGGTCGTAGTGGTGGTCGTCGCGGTCGCAGCGCCGGTAGTCGTGACCGCGACAGTGGTCATAGTGGTCGTCAAGTCGGTCATGGCGGCGGCGGTTACTGTAGTCTAAGTACGCCCGCGCGCGATACTTACAGTGTCACGATGCGTCAATTTCGTACCCTGTGTATAAAAACGAAATCGACATGTGTACACCGCGCACTGACCGAACGTAAAATCGCCTAACCAACTCATACAGCGTAATCTCACTCGGGTCCTGTATACAATATTGTCTCCGCACATTATTCCACGCGAGCGGTGGCGTCGGCCATACCAAACTATGTTCGGCCTCCGCGTCATCACTCTATCCACCCTGTCTACCGCCACGGCGTCCCACATGCCCTCGGACCTCCCGCGATAACCGCTGTAGCTAATATGTCTGGATAAAGCACGATTGCGTACGTTTGTCAGTTTTGACAACACGGTTGCGTATATCTGTCGATAGATTAACGGACATTTGTACCGAGTTGCACAAACGATAGTTAACAATTTAACGGGCCATTAACGGTTTTAACGACTCGTTAAAAAAATTGAGTTGCATAAACGTTCTGTAAATTTTCTATTTTAGCGGTCCATTAACTAATCGTCCGATTTCGGCTCGATAAATGTTAACAACTCGTTAAAATATGTTATTATTATACAGTTATCACTTATCACAAACGCTTTATCTATATACAAGTACATCGTTATACAAATTAAAAATATTGTTTATCTATCTCGATGCCTGTAATGTAATGCCTATTATATTTATTATAATTTAATTTTTCTGGCTTGAATATAATTGTTTGTTTTAAATTTTTAATACATTTAATTACCTTTGTATTTTCAATAATTGTTTTGTATCAATGAGAATTCCTTTTTTTTTTTTTTTTATCTAGGAAGTTTTTCCTTTAATTTTTTTATGTCTCATATAATAAACAATATATTTATACGACAAGAAATAACACACACTGACCATAAACGATAAAAAAAAAAACCCGACAATATTTAAATATGACTGATTATTACCAATAAGTGTTATGATAACAACCGTATGGCATGTAACACGAAGTTGCTCCTTGAATGATTTGTAAAATGTTTATGCAATTGATCAGTGATTTGCAGAATCATTAATTCTTTAACGATCCGTTAGTTAATCATTCGTTTAATATCTATGGAATAATTTGTGTGCAACCCGGCAATAGAAAAAAATAAAATCGACAAGATTGCGTACGAATAAGTATGAAACATCGTCAAATTTAAATACCATAAACTCAATAATTATCTGGTAAAATAATTTAGCCTAAACTATAAAAAAAAAAAAAAAAAAAATATATTTAATAAAATAATTAATAAATAAAAAAAAAATCATCGTTAAGAAATTAATTGTTTTGGTACACCTAAATGTTAATTCCCGAACATTCGCACATCAACTTCTACTTTGAAACATCGCAATACATTTGTACGGATTTTATACTCATAAGCCTTTATGATGTTTCGAATTCGAATAAAATCCTATTTTGCCGTTATTAACTAATTGTAAAACCGATTATACCATTCGATTTCCAGCACGGCGGTATGGGAATTACGTTTGAAACTTCGTCCGCGATCTCGCGCAGCTTAATAGTAAGGCACCGCCGATAACAAACGTACGCGACCGCGTCGTACCCGGTCCGTCTCGCGCACCATTGTCCGGCGCGCCGTCTCCCACGCGCTCCGCTCGCCTATATTTTCCCGACAGTCGCGCGCCTCATGTTCTCAACGCGCCCGTCTGTTCTGGCTCCAATTCCTCCGTCGCCGTGCCCTCACGCATCGGGCGTTTATACCGCGCGTAAAACAATAATACGTACCGATCAATAATTATTGTATTGTCCGCGATTTCGCGATTTCGCGAATGTCAAACAATAAACGGCGCGCCGCGTGAATTTACCCCAGAGCGGTCGTGTGGAACGGCGAACTAATCCGTCGAATAGGCGGCCGCGGTTGCCGAAACGCCGCGGAACAGAACTGCGACGTGAAACGTTAAAACGTTACCTAAAGTCGCCGAGTTCCCGTCACATCGATCAAACGCACGGCGCGGCCGTCGCCGTCGTCAACCGCTACCGAGTCGTACCTGCGCGGCCGTACAAAAATTGATCGAGACACCGTGAAAATCTCGGCGGTATTCCGTTCGGAGTTTTCGGCGGTTCACTCCGCGGCCCGTCATAGGCCCACTTTTTTGTCGGTCCCAGAGTGAAAGAAAACACCGCGACGATTACTACCCCGTTCAGAATCGTTTTTTTCGTTTGCATTGACTTATCGTATGCGTACGGTGTATACGCCCGTACGGGCGCCGTACTGTCCTGTCACTGTTCGCCTGCAACCTACCCTCGGGTGGTATCGATTTTTTTTGTTTATAATAATTAAACGCATTTTGATAATAAATATTACACGTATAATGCATCCATATACATTTATATAAATATATTTATGCGCACAGCGGTTCCCACGATGATCCGCCACTTGAAATGACTTTTGTAGTTTACCGAAACGTTTGCCAATATTCATATTATTGTATTATTATCATTATTATTATTATTATTGGTTTATTATCTGTTAAAATATTTAATTAATAGTCAGAGCACATCAAATGATAAGGATTTTTTTTTTACATGAATTAATAATCATACAATAATACTATTGACTACCGATTAAATATTTCAATAGGTTATAAACCACAATAATGTTCACGTTTGACAAAACTTCAAAACGTTTTAGAAAATAAAAGACTACACGTAAACAAAAGTTTCGAACACCAATATTTTCTAAAAATCTATTTTACAAAATGGCTATTTTGAATTTTTGTTTTTTTAGAGTCAGTAAGATTTAAAATTCCTTATTTTAATTTCCATCACCTGAAATTTTTTTTAAAAAATATATTTACCGTAGCTAATTCTTTAAAAAAAAAAAAATATTGAACGGAACAAAAGTTATTTCAAATGGCGGATCATCGTGGGATACCTTGTATGTACAACTATGAAAAAATACTTATAATTCAATAAATATTCTGTAGAATTATAACAGAATTGCACTGTAGTAATTTTGATAAATTAGTTTTCGGTAAATTGTAATTGCGACCAAATTCATTTTGATGATAAATCACGTAGATATGAATTATTTACGATCGATAATAAATTGACGTGCCTATCTGTCCGTAAATTCCGCTGAAAGTCATCTATTATGCGCCAATAGAAATTATCGAAAATAATATAATTAAAATCATAAACTAATTAACGATACGACCCGTTTCCGTTTGTATTCTGATCGAACATCCTTTTGACGCCAACTACTATTCGTTACATGATAATTATAGCAAATTGGCGTAGCTATTATGACAATGTAGGTACGTTAATTGGCGGAAATAAACCGGGCGTGTTCCTCATTATTGGCTTTGACGATCAAACGGATTATAAATTCTGTATAGGTACTCTCCGATGTTCCTCGGACACTTTTGAACGTCTGATCGCCTCTCGATGCGTCCGATGGACAACCATAACAAACTTGGCTGGTCCGCGAGACGATGGACAGACGGTGGAATTGATAAAATTGATTAGCAATAATAAATCAATGCTCGCGTCTAGTCAGTAATCACTGCTACACACACATTTTATACCTCAGATCGTTTGGATCATTCATTACGTACACACATTAATTTATCTTTTTTACGCGCTAACTACCGACTATTTGATTAATTCGCTGTAATACAAAATAAATTACAATTGTTATGGTTTTTAACACGTTTTAGTATACTGCGTTTGAACTTATCCGCTGATGATAGTTAATTACGAAATTGTTACTCTCATAAAAACTAAAAAAAAAAATCGAAAATTTCAAACATTTTTTAATATCTAACTCAAAAATCGTCAGAATATTTTGGAAATATACCACGTCAATAAGTACTAGGTGGAAATGTAAGGACTCTATGGTTATTTCAAAATGTGAACGTAAAATGCTTATTGCTTGAATAAACTACAAACATCAATGCACGCTAAATTGTTTCACTACTATATGAATAAATATAATGAACGTCCAGTTAAATTGTATAGGGTATTTTTGCTGGGCCAACCAAATTTAAAATAAAAACAAATAAAACAACTAAAAAAACACGAACATTTCTAATCGTTATAAATATACCTCTTTAATCTGTTCCCGCTATTCGGAAAAATGTAAGGAAAATCAAAAAAATTCCGCCTCAGTGCGCCGATTAGACATTACACAATTCGCTACAAAAACCACAGCTGATGACAATGATCGGAGCGAAATTCGTTTTCAGACCGAAAAAAAAAACGCACGCGTCATAATGAAAACCAATACGTTCCTCGCTTGGTTCAGAATAATAATAAAAAAAAAAAAAAAAAACCTAATCATAGTACTGCCCTTGACGCAATGCAAATGGTTATCGAACGCTGAATATTGTAATAACGGGTATATAACAAACGTATAAATATTAAATAGGTATCTGATATCCGAATGTACCTATGCAAATTACGAATCTAATAAAAAATAATGTGAAAATATTGCATTGCGAGGAATCAATATTCGTTATCCCTATATATAAGCGTATATCTACACGTGTATTATACATCTCATCTATACGCTTACGTATTATGATGCAATTCCATCAATCATCGTTTGTCATTAACAACAATGACGATCAATAGTTTTTCATCAGGGTACAAACGTGTATACATAAAGTTCGCCTTCTAAAACCTCTTAACCGCATTATTTTATAATTTACAATATTCCACGTGAAATTTGAAATAAGTTATTGATCATACCTATTATTCAAGGCTAAGCATTAACGAGTTAATAGGTTAAAGTTAAGTTAATTTAACTATTTAACTTAATTAATTAATTTTTTTCGAACTATTAACTTAATTTTTAATTTGAGAAATACGAAAGAATTGACTTTTAATTAATTAGAGTTAATTTTATATTCAAACAAGTTAAGTTGATTTCGATTTTTATTCGTATATGCTAATATAAATAAATTTATTATTATTATCAATTTATTATGAACATTTTAAAAT